ACTAACTCACAGTTCCATGCTCTGACTGGACAATAAACAGATTTAATATGCTACTCCGCCACCACCACACTACAAAAAGGGACACTTTATGTCACAGCTGTCCCCCAAATTTACTCAAAAGCCAAGTTCTAATGGTCTTTCAGAAGTCCAGTAAGGTTGAAGCCATATGGATGGTTGGAGAAATGAGGTTTGGAAAAAGAACAGTGGCTGAAATCTGTAGGATGGTATTTTCTGAGTGAAGAGGGAAACAAAGGGAATCTCTTTCGCCTTATTCTATTGGATGAGTAGATAAAATTGGAACGAGGCAGTATGAATTTTTTAAAAAGACTCCCAGACTGTAAACCTGATCTTTTGGAAAGATCTGGTGTCTTTTGGAAAAACACCTTTGGGACCAAAGACCTTGATCGCTTTGAGTTGAAAGGCAAAATTCAATATCATCAGAATAATGACGATACCTGACCTCATACCAATGAATCATCTCTGCCAACAACTCTACATTGATGTGATATTGGAGTTGAGTAGTATGCTAAGCTTTGTGGCATCCTACAACCAAGATACCTAGAGCTTGACCTCTTCCTCTAACTACTACCACTTGAGATAGAAAAAGAGGAGGATATCTACCTAAATGTATTTCACACCACACTTTTCCATTTTACTACCCTTGCAAAGCTTCTGTGTTTCCACCATCTTTTATTCATACATTGTTTTTGTTCTCACTTCTCTCTTTTTGAGATAGTTATAATTTCCACTCAGCTACAGCTTTTTTGGTCTCCCCCTCACTCTCCACCCACTCACACATTTTTTTCTAAATTTTATTTGCAATTCAATCTTAATTTGTTTTCTTATAATGACCAAGCCATCTCTAGGTACTTCTTTTGTACTGTTCATGTTTTATTCAAATCATTTGGAACTTGCTCGTTACATTATTTTTCCAAAATGATAATTCTGGGTTGCATGTCTTTCTAATATAGTAGTGTTTTACTGTTTCTCTCCCATGTTTGATAAATTCATAATTCTTCAGATTACACCCATCATCAGGAGCCGCGGTGGTGCAGTGGTTAGAATGCAGCATTGCAAACTAATTCTGCTGACTGTCAGGGGTTTGATCCTCACCAGCTCAAGGTTGACTCAGCCTTCCATCCTTCTGAGGTCGGTAAAATGAGGAGCCAGGTTGTTGGGGGGCAATATGCTGACTCTTTAAATCGCTTAGAGAGGGCTGTAAAGCTCTGTGAAGCGGTATATAAGTCTAAGTGCTATTGCTATTGCTATTGCTATCATTGCTTTGCTCAATCAAGCTCTTCCATCACTATTTAGTAAAGCAGAAAACATGTAGATCATAAGTTCCAAACACATGGCCTGAGGCTGGGTATAACACACGATACTCCCAAGTGTGGCCTGAACCAATTTAAATACAGTTTGGGAAATATTTCACAAAATAAAAATTAAAAATAGGCAACATTACATTTTTAAACTAAATAATAATGTCCACCAATCATCAAAAAAATCTGAGCTTGCAACTCACTTGCAAGCTCCTGGACAAGTTTGCTGTCTTGGCCTAGCCTCAGCAGTGCAGGTCCGGTCATTCAGCATTGCTAGCCACAGACTGAACAGCATCATGTAACAAGATCTCCTTCTCGGTCTGTGCTGCAGCAGCACCGTCTATCCCAAGCATCCTTGGGTGCTGCAATTAAGCTGAGGCAGCAAGCTTGTACCTTTTCCCACTCAGCAGGCAGGCACCTGCTTGAGACCCCAGAATCTCCAGTGCAACAAAGGAGCCCTTCCCTCCAAAGCAGGTTGAATTTATTTCCTTCCTTCCTTCAGAAAAGGTTTAATTGATATCTCTTGACCTTGGGCTGCACAAGGTCCGTGATCATTACTAATGTAATGGATGTCTAAGTTTCACAGTGAATATAATAATGGAACAAATAATTTCTATGTCATTTTCATTTGTGGGGGCTTATGATTTATACAATATACTAAATACATACAAACGCAACATGTATAAAGTGCAACAAATGTCAGAGAATATGATATCATTATTATCATTATTATTATATTATCATTATTAGTATTAGAAAATAGAGCAATGTGTGATGAAAACCTATGAGTAAAACTTAAAGGAAATGGAATCTAAAAAAGCCCTAAACGCAAAATAAAAGTATATACTATATACTTTTATACATATATCTGAGTATAATAAATGCAAAAAACAAGTTTTTTACACTGAGCACAAGATGAATCTTTTTTGTTTTTTTGTCAGAAGCATTGTTTTATTTATTAATGACTGAATTTGTGCACAGCATCAACACTATTTATTGGGGGCTAGTCATCTTTCAAAACACTAACCAGAGAATCCCAACGGTGCTTTTTCAAGAGACAACTGGACTTTATGTTTTTTCTTTGAAGACCTTTCGCTTCTCATCCTAGAAACTTCTCCAGGTCTAACCAGAGAAATTCTCAGAAGAGCCAGCTTAAAAGAAAAAGGAGTAGGTAGCAATCTGGGAAATCCTGTTCTGCTTTGTAGTATATTTCCATCCTTCTTTTTCTCTCCTGCAGGATGTCAGGCTTCAGCTTTATCTGGAAATCATAGCCTTTTGTCGGGAGCCTTTCCTCTATGAATAGCCATTTCTTGTGATGGGAAACAAAGTAAGCAAGAGGAAGCAGTTATCAGGCTTCAAACAGAGCACTCAGGAGTCATAGCAGTGATATCGGTGACACTCCTTGTGATTGCAGTATGCAGGGAGTTTTTTCTTCTTCTAAATTTACTGTACACTATTAGAGTGACTGGAGCCCCTTTAATTTCATTAACTGCCATCAGATCTGATTCAGAGGACAAATCTGAAACAACGTTGTCTTATAAATTAAGCAACTCTGCTCTTATAAAGGAATTACGTCCTTATTAAAGCACATCAGACGTTTTTATCATTTTTGACAAGCACATCGGCAAGGTATACTGTTTATGCCTTAAAGTCATTGCCCATAACTAATCCTAAGGTGCTAGTCACAGGAGGCACCACTGTACAGTTAGACATCGACTTACAACAGTTCATTTAGTGACCATTCGAAGTTACAGCAGCACTGAAAAAAGTGACCTATGCCCGCTTTTCAGACTTACCACCATTACAGCATCCCCATGGTCACGTGATTAAAATTCAGACGCTTGGACCGCGATTCACATTTATGACTGTTGCAATGTCATGTGATCCCCTTTTGCGACCTTCTGACAAGCAAACTCAATGGGAAACTTAACAAACGTGTTACTAATTTAACAACTGCAGTGATTCACTTAACAACTGTGGCAAGAAAGGTCATAGAATGGGGCAAAATTCACTTAACAAATGTCCCACTTAGCAATAGAAATTCTGAGCTGAATTGTAGTCATAAATCGAGGACTACCTGTTCATTCATGTGAAGTTTAGAAAATTGCCTATTTTCTAATAATAACTATGTATGGTGTTTGCTTAAAATGCATAGCAATCATACTTTATTAGTATGAAATTCTGTATATATCACGCCTTTGGAGAAGTCTCTTTTAAACTTGACTTAAAAGAACTAGAAACAATATGTCCATTTGAGTAGCGAAGATGGCAGTTACAAGCTTTTATGACATATACAGATTATTATGAAACACTTGACCCTATCAGCATGCTACTGTCCGTTTTATATTCATTATGACATTTATTTAGCACCATTGGAACAATGGCTCCCCCCCAATCACTACGTAAGTAGCAAAAAACCCTGGTAATAGTAAAAGATGTGTTGGAGTCATTTGCAATTGCAAATTGTAAAGGAAACAATCTTGCTAGAGAATTTTGCTATAATTGCTAAATTTTGCTAACCTTTAGTATTAACTTTTCAATTGAAGTCATTTATTTGTTTTTATCAATTGAGGAGACTAAAATTGCTGCTGTAAAACCTGGATATTGAACTAACGTTTTGGGGGGTTTTAGCCCAATGCTAGACATTGCTTTAATTCTTGTCATTAACTCCTTTCAAGTTTTTTTTTTATCACAAGTTCATTGATGTTAAATACTCTTGATTTGCTTCTCATTATCCTCATAAATCCTCCTCCTTTTCAAAAGAAACACACCAGAAGAAATATGAAACTGAACACATGTGGGGGAAGTTACACTGATCTTTGCTTTATTTAGTTTTCTACTTTGTATAAAGCAATTTGAAGTTGGAAAATCTTTTCTTCAGGTTTCAGACATTATATCAACCAACCATTCATGCTGATTTCCACAATGTGCATGTCTTATTGTCAATACAGGTATTAATGAGTATTAATCTTGGCTTGAAGAATAAAAGCCTTTATTGAGGACAATATATATGTGCATATGAAGAGTATTAATGGTACAGCTTTGCTTGGGTTTGAAAGGAATTATTTTATCTCTGGAATTTCCCAAGGAGCATCCATCAAACAGTTCTACTGAGCTGCCAGTGCTGCTTTCTCCAAGATATCCTTAAAATTCCCCTATTTTTTAACCTGTTGAGTTGGGAATGTGGGAGATGGTCCAGCAATTTGGGGAAACCCAGGTGAGGAAGTTGAGAGATTACTCTGTTTTTCTGGTCAGACAGTATTTTCACTAAACCTATGGCATCATAGTGAAGATTACTTTTCCATTTGATCATTGCCCCTGAAATACAGCATCCTAGATCAGTGGGCTCTCCTTACGAGGAAAGGAAGGGGAAGGGAAGGACAGTTGAAGTATTGGCAAGCGTGAAGGAAACTATATCCTTGCATTAGATTGCTCGGGTCCTCGGACTCCGGTTTTAAACCTGAGTTAAGTAATTCTGCTCCTGTTTCTCTAGCAACGTAGGTTAAAGAGTGTGTCAGAAAGCCATGTTTTCTGATTAAGGGAAGGAAGGTGTTACCGAGCGCCTAATGTTTGCTCGACTTCTGCTCGAGAGCCACGTGGAACGCGTCTTCTGCCATTCAAAACACGTAAACACACACCCCTTCTGCACGCGCTCAAAAGCGCTTTCTCGGACGCCGGGCCGCCCGTCGCGCGGGTCCCACGGACCTGCAGCAAAGGCGGGCCTTCAAAAACCTTCGCTCCCGCGCCGCCCCGCCAAGACGACGGAGGCCGCCGGCTGCACGGATGAAGGGCTGGAGAAGGGGCCGAACGACTCCCCGACGCATCTCCCTGCCTGGCGCAAGAGATCCCAGCGGCGATTCGTGAGGCCTCGGGGCAGGAGCGGCGGATCGCGAGGGGTTGTTGTTGTTGTTTTTTGCGCAAAGCCCCCGGGCGGAGTGGCCTCCGCTTTCTTCTGCGCCTGGACGGTGGCTCCTCGCTCCCAACCATCTTGAGGGAGGGAAACTAGCTGGCGCCTTGCCTGCCTGCCTGCCTGCCTTTCTCCCTCCCCGAAAGCAGCTGGGCTGCTCGGATAACGTCATCGCTTCCGCCCAGCTTCCTCCTCCTGTTGGCGGTGGCGGCTAAGAATCCAACATGGAGTAAAAGAGACAGAGATGGGGCTCGGACGGGGCCGCCGGCTGCAGCACCATCCGGGCGCGTTGGCCGACGCGGCGCCCCGCTGCCTTCCCGCGCGCTGAGCGCCCTTCCGTCGCAGGTCTCGTCTCTCTCGCAGCCCTGCGCTTTGGCAGCCAACGAGGCCTTAGCAAACTGCCTGGCTTCCTTCCTTTTCCCTCCCCATCCCTGCCCCCTTCTCCCCCCCCCCTCCGCCCGCCCGCTTGCTTTCCAGCGAAGCCGAGGCGGTCTCTTTCCCCGCATCCTTCCAGCTCGATCGGCTCTCTCCCTCTCTTTGCCCTCGATGTGAAGCTGAGGGGGGGGGGAGAAAAAAAGAAAAATGAAGAGGTGCTGCCCGGCTGCCCGCGGCGGGGGATGAATTTTTGAGAAGGAGAAAATGACCGAGGAAACCCATCCAGACGAGTAAGTGTCCGACGAGCTGAAAGGGGGGGAGGGGGAGCAGCATGCTTGTAAACATCTGGCGAGGGGAGGTGCTCGGTGTGGTCGTGGCGAGCTTTTCTCCCGTATAGCCGCCTTGCCTCGGTGCCCGGGCGATCGCAAAAAGAAGTGCAAGCTTTGCGGTTATCCCACGTCTGGGTCGCCTCGCCCGGGAGCCTTCGCCTTCCCAGCGCCCCACTTCTCGGCGTTGCTCGAGAGGTTGGCGCAGGGCGCACAGCGCCCCAGTTCTGCAAGCCTGCTGTGTTTGGAAGAGGGAATGTTAACCCAGCTCCCTTCTGGCAAAAGGGGGGCGAGAAGGCGGAGAGAAGTATTGATGGACTTTTTTTCGGGATCCGTCTAAGACGGGCTTCCCTCCCCCCCCCCCCGCCTTACTTCTCTCCATTCCTCCTCTTCATGCTGCTCGCTCTGTAAGATTGAGGGTCACTATTGATGCCAGTCCCCTCCTCCTTTTCTCTGCCCCCCTTTCACTTCTCCCCTGCCTTATGTTTTTTTTTTTTTGCAGCATTCACATCCGCCATTTCTTTCTTTTTTTTTTTTTTTCTTGACTTGCTCTCATTTGCATACCACATTTCCATTCATAAAAAAACACCATTCGAGGCCAGGAGTCTGCTCGGACCGTGGGAGAGAGAGGGAGAGCCATCTCGGGAAAGTGGGGAGGGAAAGGAAGGGAGGGAAAAGGGTTGATCGCTGTTGCAAGGCGGCTTCGGGCTGCCAGATGGGGGGGGGGAGGGAGGCTTCGGGTCTCCTTTCTCCTCCACCTCCCTCCCCCCCCCCTCCGCTCGGTGACGGCGAGTGGGGGGAGAGCGGATCGCCACGGTGCTTGCCTGCCTGGGCCTTGGTTGACTCTGAAGCTGGCCGGGGGGGGGAGGTGAGGAGGGGGGGCAGGGATAGAATTTTAGGCACGGCCGCCTCGCTGCTTTCAGCTCATTGTTAGCCTTGCAGCCGGTCGGGGCCGTCGCTTGTTGTGTGAGAGTCTAAACTGAAGAAATGGAGGTGGGCGGCCGAGGAGACAGCGGGAGAAACCATTAACGATCGCCTTCGCCCGCAAAAGTTAGCTAACTTCCAAGCAAATCCCTCTCAGCGTGCTTCCAGACTACACTTAATCTCCCTGCTACCGCGCCTCTCCTTTGAGGCACGGCGTTCTTTTAAAATTGCCTGGGTGGCGGGGTGCGGCTCCCTGGGCTACTGGTGGTTAAAGGTGACCCGGCTCGCCCGCAAGGGCTGTAAGTGCCTCTCGCTGTCTGACTGGGGCGAAGCTGTTTCTGCTCCCTACGGCTGCATATGGTTGGATTCTTTTTCTGCCTTTTTTTTTTTTTTTTTTTTTGTGAATAAGACAGGTTCCCGTTGTTGTCACATGATCCTGACATTCATAAATCCGGTAACCTTCAGCCTTCGTTCATTCACTCGATCGCTGGCTCGCTCCTTCGCTCGCTGGCTGCCGGCCTGTCCTTTACCTTTCTTGAATCGTTGGCGAAACGTGGGGGAGGAGGGAGAATAAGAAAAGACTTCTGAAAGATTAGGAAATGGGTTTTCTCTAAATAGTGCTTCTCGCCCGAAAAGAAAGCATCTCTTGCATTCTGGAAATGGGAAGTGACTCACACTTTTTTTTCTTATTTTTCTAATGTAAAGGGGTTGATGATGAGGGTTTCAAATGAACATCCGTGGAGAGGATGTAGCTGTTGCTAATTCAGTTTTGTGGAAATGGGAAGGGTGGGGGGAGAGAGAGAGAGAGCCAGAGTGGGAAAGAGCAACTCTTACATAAATGCCTTTGCCGGTTTATGGCCCAGCATGACAAAGATGGACTATTTCAGAATAGTTTAGAGTGCTTCAATATTCCTTGCACCTGCAATCTGTATATAATCTGCAGCTGCCACACAGCTGTGAGCCCAACCTTGAAAAGCACAAAAAAAAAAAAAAAAAACCATGGCTGGAAACAGCAAGATCGAGTTTGCTAAGCTAAAATGCAGTTCATTAGTTTGTGTCTTGTTGTATGGGAAATTTATGGCTCAGTATACTGTGTGAATCTGGACTAATTCAGTGAATAGTAGTTCAATGTAAGATTTGATGTAGTGATTAAGGCCAGGAGACTTGAGTTCCAGTCCCACCTTGGGCACCAAGCCAGCTAGGTGACCTTGGGCCAGTCACTGTTTCCCAGTCCTAGAAAGGAGGCAAGGACAAACCACTTATGAAAAACTTTGCCAAGCAAACTGCAGAGACTACAGTACAGTAGTTGTGGCAGCTGCCAGGAGACAAACACTGATTTGAAGGCAACACACACACACAATAAAATAAACAAAAAATACTATATTGTGTGTGCACATCCCAAGTGAGACAAAATGGGTTCAGGCCCTGAAATGATACTGGTATTAGGTCATGTTGTCAATAGGCTGTTCAGTGTTCACAATACTCTTAGCAGCTCCTTGGCAATTGTACTTAGGTTGCAACTTGCAGGATTTCTCAGAGAGCTTCTGGACATAGTGACTTGGGTACATGATGTCTGGATAGGCATTAGGCATAGAATAGCTGTTTTTAGACTGGCTGTCCTAGTTTTTCTTAGAATTGGAAACTGAAAAAGCCTCATAGAAGACAACTTTAAAATCCTGGCTCTGCAGTACCTTGGCAGCACCGTATCTTCCCCTTGTTACTTCCCTCTTTCTCTCCCCTCTCCCTACCACCAAAGTGAGAAATATGGAACAACTGGAACTATTGAGTTGAAAAAAAAAGCTCCATTTTTAATGAGCGGAAGATAGAAGCTAAGAAGTGAAGTCCTTGTATTTCTTGGGCAGGGATGAGCTAATGTCATATATTTTAATTTGTAGTATATTTCAGTGTTGTGCTTCCATATTTTAGATTTGAAAATAAATCATAAGGCAACAATATTTGAACCAGGGAACCTCAAAGAGGCTGATTTACACAGAATGCATCCCAAAACTGGGACCCATGACTCTTGTGGGATTGAAGTTTGACAACGTTGTGGCCACTTCAGCATCACAATTCTGCTGCAGTTATGTGACTGTTATGTCCAGTGCTTCCTGCAAGCTTCCCATAAGGAAGGTCCATATGGAAGCCAGCAGGAACTGGGAAGTTGCTCCCATTCCCATGAATCTTTTATCAATGTTCATTCTGTTCCTCTGTTTAGGTAAGAAAATATATCTGAAATGTGAACCCAACAGGGTTGTCTAGTAGTTGTCAAATGTTTTTACTTACCTTGGTGGCTTAATCCTTAATTGAAACTAGTGCTCATTGGAGTGAAGAATTCCATTTACTTGGTAATGTAGCCTAAACGAAGAGCCAAATAAAATACAAATAGTCCTCAACTTACAACAGTTCATTTAGTGACTGTTCAAAGTTAAAACGGCACTGAAAAGAATGACTTATGACCATTTTTCACAGTTACAACCCATGATGATGTGATCAAAATTCAGATGCTTGGCAACTGGTTCATACTTATGACCATTGCTGTATCCCAAGGTCATGTGGTCACATTTTGCAACATTCAGACAAGCAAAGTCAATGGGGAAGCCAGATTAATTTAACAACCGGGTTGCTAAATTATCAATTGCAGTGATTCACTTAACAACTGTGGCAAGAAAGGTAATAAAATGGGGCAAAATTCACTTAACAGATGTTTCACTTAACAGAAATTTTAGGCTAAAGTGTGGTCATAAATCGAGGACTACCTATACAGAAACCTGTGAATAATACCTTCAGCAAGGTGCTTATGTTGTACTTTATATTTTGGCAAAAGACACAGGTTCGGGCCAAGATGCCTGCAAATCTCCTTGACCCTTTTCTAGAAGGCAGTTTGACACAAACCTGTTTGGCAGAGATGCAAGATGAGGATATAAACAATAGCCTAGTCATTTCCACCTATGGCAAGAACTATTTTAGTCCTGGCAGCAAGGAGGTTAGGAGATTTGTCTGCTGCAAATCACAGTTTTTAGCATTTGTTTATAATGTAGATAGAACATGCTGTAATAAAAGCATACATATCCAACTCCCAGAAATGGTAAAATTAGGATGAGCAGATATGTATAGCAACAGAGTCATATTGACAATGCATAATGAACTATGTTGCAAATGGGCTACAGCTATCTTACATTGTTTGTTTTTAGTATTGTGGTTTGGGTACCATAAACATGGTGATTATATTTGAAAACTAAGCTATCCCCATTTCTTTTCCCCATTTCTTTAGCCTCCAAGCAACCATTTTTGCCAATGTTTTCCCAAGTTCCTCTCTAATGACATGAGGATTTTGAGGGTTTAAATTTAATACAGGTAGTCCTCGACTTACAACAGTTCATTTAGTGACTCTTCAAAGTTACAACGGCACTGGAAAAAAGTGACTTACGACCATTTTTCACACTTATCACCATTGCAGCACACACACATCACACACACACCCCCGATCAAAATTCAGATGCTTGGCAAATGATTCATAGTTATGACTGTTGCTGTATCCTGGGGGCATGTGATCCCCTTTTGCGACCTTCTGACAAGTAAAGTCAATGGAGAAACCAGATTCACTTAACAACTGTGTTACTAACTTAACAACTACAGTGATTCACTTAACAACTGTAGGCAAGAAATGTCGTAAAATGGAGCAAATTCACTTAACAAGTGTTTCACTTAGCCATAGAAATTTTGGGCTCAATTGTGGTCGTACATTGAGGACTAATTGTATTACCATCATGCCACTTAAATAGTAGGTTAGAAAAATGCAATTATTGGTCAGTTTTATTTTATTTTATTTTCTGAAATATATATATATATATATATTGAAACTGATTATATCATTATTGGCCAGGAAGTTACCATCTAGAGTAGGGTATTTCAAAATTGTTCCACAGAACTTTATCAGCCAGTTTTCTATCACTAAGAGCTGTGCCTTTCAATCAGATTTTGAGAACATATCAATACATTAACTAATGGTTCCACTGCCTGAAAAAGTTTGAATATCTCTG